AAATACCGAGCTAATAAACACAGCAGTGCAGCAGCAAACTGAAAGGCGAAGAAGCTTAGGAACGCCATTAACGTGCTGTTGTTAACAGCTTGGCTTCCAGCTTCGTTTCGGCATTTGCAACAAACCGTCGTCTGTCGTACACAGTACGCCTTGCCTGAACCCTATTCTTAGAACACATACTCCGTGAAAGAAACAGCTACGAACAATGTTGGGTGACAGAGAAGGGCAACTTGCTCTTGGAAAGATGGAATACGAAAGACAAAGGTAGCACTGCAGACCGAGCAAAGATCTTGTGATCGAATCAGTGGACGGCGCCAATTATAACTGCACAACGTGCATAGTCGAGCAATGCTCGACGTATTGCCTGACGTACAGATCGACAAAGCTATCCTGGCACTGCAACGAATTTCCCAAAAGCCACAATTCTGGAGCATTGCGGGATACTCTCAGTGCTTGCAAAATTCACTGTCTAAAAGATTTGCACGAAAATGCGGTATCCAGCATCAAAAATACAAGGGTTTTCAACAGAGTTTTCTTTTCTGGAAACTTCTGCCGTACCGTCGCACTTTGTTGCCCAGCTTTACCTTAAAAAAATTCGAACCTTCCTCATATCAGTCTTTATGGGAACCTTCCGCTTGCTGGGAGCTTCTCGCAAATGTATGCTACCAACTCGTTCTTGATGTTGCTTTTCTCAGTGTGAAAAGAAGTGTCTGTTCTGTAGCTTTTATTAAAGTGCGCGTCCCTCGCTCTGAACAGAAAATATAATAGTAAGAAATAATTAATCTATTGTAGCTTCAGAAATCTGCGTTGACTCTTGCTGGCGCTTTTGCTCTTTCAGTTTCTTCCGCGCAAACACTGAATCGCGATGCACTGTATACGCAATGCAGGTGTCGACGAGCCGCTGCGGCACAAAATAGATCTTCGGATCAATGCACACCACATAATCAACGTATGTTTTTTCTGGGTCACCAGGAAATGGTGAAAATCGTCCAGCTCCAAGCTGCATATTGGCCCTGAAATTTTGATGAAATATCCGCTTTCACATGCAGCTGAAGGCGAAGCAGTCCATTGTCTACCTTAGAGGTATGCAGTACATTGTTTCTATAACTATGGGAAGTCTGACTTAGGAAGAAACTGGAAAGGCTGTTTGAAACTTCCCTCATATCTGACTCACTCTGAGAGACTGAAATAAGTAGTGTAGGAAGTCCAAGTAGCATAGATGTAGGAAGTTCAAGTAGTATAGATTGTGCGAGAGAATCACGCATCGGT